GATTTTCAATTATAATTACTTTTCTGTTTGAGCATTTACATTGCACTTGGAGGTTGTAACTTACAATATGTAAATGAACATTAAATACATTTTAATTAAATGTGTCTCGATTTCAGGCTATTAGGTCACAAAATGTCTTAGTTTGGAAACATTGTGTAACTGTATGTAAAATTCCTATTAGCACTGTATGTGTTGTGTACTGTATGTCCATATAATGTGACTTGATTATCAAACATGGCTTTGCCTGTATGTTTTTTCCAGATATCTATTTTAATAACCACAAAAGAGAATGTTCAGAATTCTCCCTTCTATGTACAGTACTAATAACTAAGCAAAACATTTAGGGAGCCCTAATAAACAAATTACAGATGCAGCCGTTCAGAGTGCTCGAGGTGTTATGTGGCCTATTATAACATCTGTTGTGGTATGCTGAAAGGTACAGTTCAACAACATTTTTTAGATTTTCACATAATCTGTTGCAGGACTACATTACTCTCTAGAATTGCCAGGTGGCACAGTGAATTTATCTTAATGTGGCTTTCGCACAAATCCTATTTAAATCATAACAAATAAATGTTTATTAACCCATTAGTGCTTTCCTGCACTAATCATACTGTACAGTAACACTAACTGACATTTTTCATTCTTTAATTAAATGCAGTCACAGAATTATTCGTAATGAAATATAAATTAATAGTAATTAGAGAATGGACAATATATTGTTAGAATTGTACATGGTGGCTTTATATACTATTTGAAACAATAAGAAAATATATCTTATTTAAAACAAAAAAGAGGTTTTAATGATTTGAATGACTTTCAAAGAATGACTTAAAGTACAGTATGTCACTTAATGAGCTAAATTAAAAACTACTAGTATTACTTTTTCCATTTTCTACAAAAGGTTCAATGAAGCTACAAGCTTTTCATTATCCATTACAGCAATAACAACACCAAGTGTTCATGGACAACATGATAACTTTATGTCATTTTATAATGATCATAAATGTTAAATAGTTCAAACGAGCATGCCAGAACGTTTCCAAAATAACCATAGCAAGTGACTAAGTTAAAGACTCTGATGCAGAAAACGTTTATGAAAAAGATGGAATACTGCTTAAAGTTTTATAATGCAAATCAAATAATTAAATATATATTATCCAACCATCCATTTTCCATCAACTGTCACGGCTAGCTGTGGAGAGAGACCAGTGAGAAGGGAGGACCCTATGTGTAGCGACAGGAACAGAGCAAATAAGGGGGTTTGCTCCGGGCTCAAGGTATCGGGCGGAGTCGGAACGAGACATAAGACCTCAGGTAGTGGACTTGGGGCGACCTTGTGATGCAAGCCTCTCTACAACCAATCCCAATACCGAGCGAGGAGGAAAGGGAGACCCGGAAATATATAGCAGCAGACAACAAGA